TGTGAAGCAATTCAATATACAGTAATACGATGTAGTAACTGCTCAGCGTGTTACTTACGTATTATCTACGTGTTACTCTTATGTTATTCAGTGTGTTACTCAGTCTGTTATTAACGTGTTACTCAGGGCGTTATTCTGCGTGTTACTCACGTGTTATTTACGTGTTATTCTCGTGTTATTTACCGTGTAACAACATGTAAATGACGTGTTACTAAAGGTGTTCATCAGTATGTTACTCAAGTGTTATTGACGTGTTACTCAGGGTGTTAATCAACGTGCTACTCACGTGTTATCTACGTGTTACTCTCGTGTTATTCAACGTGTAACAACATGTAAATAACGTGTTATTAAGGGCGTTGATCAGCGTGTTACTCAAGTGTTATTTACGTGCTACTCAAGCCGGTTATTGACGTAATATTAAACATGTTTAAAAATACAAAAAAAATCATAAAAATACTAACATTCACCAAGATATGAACATTTTGCCAGTAACTTATACAAATATTTGATATACAATAACCATGAAATTATTCCATATACAATAACCTATACAAGTATACAAATTAAGAATATACAAATTTACTCAAAAGTCCTCAAAAGTAAGCAAATGTCATGTACAAAATCAGCTCTAAATCGTTCCATATCATCCTGCCAATTCATATGTGCACTCCAGTCGACTTCTTCAGCCTGCACTAATGTTTTCATGTACTTGCAAACGAACATGCCGCAACCAACATTATTCCTTTTTGAGGGTACATGCTTTGTAATCAATAGGGACAATTTATGGATTTTGGCTGTAAATAAATCAGCGGCATCTCTAGCAAACATATTCACCTGCATGGTTGAAGCATTATTGTGTTACTCTTCAAATGCTATTGTGTTACTTTTAATTAAGTTGAATATACTTACAACTTCTGTAGCGTCAGCCTTATGTATTTGGTTAAGAGTGAGTCGTATATTCTCCATTTTCTCAACTTGAGATCTAAAACTAAAAAGATCCAATGCTGATTATGAATGATTGGAAAGAAAATGGCTTTTACATCTTTTACGGCTTCGTTGGTGATATGTTTCAAGTGGGGTTTGCTACCATATGTCTTATGCATCTGCTTAATATTATTACTTTAAATTAACAGGGAATATATGACTTAAACTTATCTGAATAAATATAAGTTGTTATAAATATAAGTTGTTATACCCCATACATTGATGAAACATACAGGTAATGCCGGTACAACTCTGGTCTCCTTAAAGTTCTTTCGCGCAGCATGACAACAAATAAATCAACATGTTCGTCTGCAAGCAACTTATTTAATAGTATGTCTTTGAGTGCTGGTCAGTAAATCAAAATATGGCCTCTGTTAATTATAACGTCGCTGCATTGATAAGAAATAAAGTTTCCTTTAATTAAATACAGCAAAAATGCGTAACATTAAAACAATGATGAACATTTACATACAGTCCAGTGTATCTGGATAGGCACTGGTCTATTTCTTTGTGCATTTCAATTGGCATCAATGACCTACCATGATACTCAATAGTTGAAGCCGGAGGACGTAGCTGCAAAAGAAAACAATCAATGGATAACACAAAATAAGAACGTATAAGATATGCTTCAAAGTACATAACTATATTTTTTATTACAACTAGAGCATATTACTCTGCATCAGAACTGTGACTTTGACTCAAAATTTGCTGATAACCAACTGGATCTAAGCTTTCTTCATCTAAATTGAATTCAGTATGTACATTTTCATCTGAAACTTGGACCTCTTGGGAATCACCCGTTTTTTAATCAGTATTTAAAGCGGAAGTCAGAAGACGCGTCTAAAAAAATATTGTTAGAAAAAATAAAGTAGGAATGTATATCATATAGTACAAATTAGAATGACGTACTCACCAAATGAGATAGATATTCAAAAACACCATTTATTGCTCGTTCTACTTCTTCGGGGTCTCCATGGATTGTCTCATCACCCAAATCTGTGTCTTGTGCTTCTCTTATTTGTGCTTCTCTTATTGTTTTTCGGCGTCTTGGGCCTGTCCGGGAACATCTGTATGTACAGGATCAGCTTGATGCACATTATCCTTTGTAGGATCAACAACATCCACATAGATTGTACTTTGGAACAAAAAAATTGTCTTGTGCATGTCTTATTGTTTCTTCTGGAACATCTGTATTTACATGAGCAACAATATCAATATCATCGCTTTTTATACGTCTTCTTTTGAACTGGTTTTGAGATACAGGGGGGTCCACTGTCCTCTTCTGCTGATGTCCACTGTTGCTGGTCTTCTCACTTGTATCGGATATTGTTTTCTTAACAACATTGTCAGCCTTAGTTTCAAATAATCTGTGTACCAAAACAGTAAGGGTGGACAATGCTTTTACCACAATATTCATCTGTTTACTCATACCAGTCATTGTATCTTGTATATTTAAGCTTATTTGTTCCTAAGATTTTAGCATCTCATAGAGTACCCCGAAATCAGCACTCTCCATCGTATGTCCAGGTACTGGGGTTATATGACTAGAAACAATTGTACCTTGGCGTACGATCTGGGTGAAGATGGTCCTGTAGTAGTTTCATGTTGTGGAAGTTGCCTTGCAGGACTTGGTGGTCCCTGCTCTGAATTTTCGAGCAGTTGTACTTCACCTTCCCTTAAATCTAAGAATCTGTCATTAACCTACAATAAAAATGTATTCGTCAAAATCGTTGCAAGCATTCTTAAAAAACTATTAAACAAAGGTGCCAATAAGCTATAATAAAAATTAAATGATCTACATGATCAAGTCTCTTAAAGGCTTCATGAATCTTCTCAACACTCAACCCATGATTAGTTGGCCACCTCAAAATGCGAGGTCTAGCGTCAGGTGCAGCAAAAGTTAACAGAGAGGTGTGCTCGTAAAACCAAAGCTGAGGATATTTTACACCATCAACATGTATGCAAAAGTTAATACAATAAAACAAAAATTCAGACGAATAATGTTTTAATGTAAACAACAAATACTTTCGTTAAAAGAAATACAAATCCTTGAATATATCCAATCGACTTATTCTGCCTTAATTTCATGGAGACGATTCTCACTTGATCGATGATCATATCACATATGACAACAGACCAATTAAAGGACGAAAAAACTTGTACATTTATAGCAAAAGAAGATAGCTCTGCAGGCACATAAAAATTGCTTGAAGGAAAAAATAAATAAGTTAGTATAAGTTTCAAATACAACTGCTCAAAAAGAGGGGTGAAAGCTCCTTCTGCAAAAAAGTTTGTCAGTTTGTTCTTTACTTGTATGACATTCATGTTTGATACGAGTCATTTCTTCCATGAAACTCATTTCTTCCATGAAAACAGACTCTCCTCTGTTTGATATCTCTATCAACAAAGCCACGTGGTCAACATGTAACTTAACCTCATTTCCACCCATTTTGAAGACCCCCCTCTCATTATCACAACATATCAGAATATGTAAAGTCATGACATTTTCCTGGGGATATGGGGGCATGTCAAATAAATTGAACTCTAATTTCTTTTAAATTATTAATAGTCTCATTTGAAAGTAGATCTCGAATTGCATCCAGTGCACCTCTCACTGCAAATGGACGTCATCTATAGTTGAAAGTCATTGCACTCATGATCCTGCAAATTAAAGAAATAATAACACATTATTAAAATAACAATCACAAGAATAACACAGAAAATTGATGTGTTATTCTAAATTAACAATCACTCTGAACAGAAGCACATGAATAATATATAAATAAGATGGGAATAATACATGAGTAACACACAAAAATAACACAGTAATAACCCTACACAGAAGCATGAATAATACAGAAGCATAACTAATTACACACCAGTAACACATGAATATCACATGAAACATACTTAATTAACAATCACCCTAAACACATCAATAATACATGAATAACACGAAAATAACACATGAGTAACACACCAGTAACACAGTTAAAACACAGGAAAATAATACACGAATAATAAAAGAATAACACATCAAAACTATGTCATTATTTAACAATCACCCTAAACAGAAGCATATCATATCAATAATACATGAATAACACCGAAATAACACAAGAGTAACACACCAGTAACACAATTAAAACACGAAAATAATACATGAATAATACACGAATAATACAAGAATAACAGATCAAAACTATGCCATTAATTGACAATCACTCTAAACAGAAGCATATCACATCAATAATACATGAATAACGCGAAAATAACACATGAGTAACACACCGGTAACACAGTTTAATCACAGGAAAATAATACATTAATAATACACGAATAATACAAGAATAACACATCAAAACTATGTTATTAATTAACAATCACCCTAAACAGAAGCATATCACATCAATAATACATGAATAACACGAAAATAACACATGAGTAACACACCAATAACACAGCTAAAACACAAGAAAATAATACATGAATAATACACGAATAATACAAGAACAACACATCAAAACTATGTCATGGAGATATCTGTGAGTCCATCGAATTTGGTTTTATGCAGTTATTGAGGTAACATTATTTATGTGCTAATGATTCAAAGTCATGCTGTGTTACTTGTGTGGTATTGATGTTGTATTGTTGTATTTTTGATGTATTACTGATATATTACTTATGTGCTATGTTATTGATGTGGTATTGTTGTGCTATTGTTATGTTACTGATGTGTTACTTGTATTTCATTACTTTGGTTTATGTGCATACCGTGATTTTAACGAACGACTCGACGTCATGGTCACCTTCGCTTGCGTGTCATAGAATGCTTAGAGTTTTGCCAATAATGGAGGATGCGCTTCGCCGAGGAAGACTATACAGAGACTAAACCTTAAACTCATAATAGTGCGGAAAAAATGAAAAGTCGGGTTCGGATTTAAAGCCAGGCAGGTAGCCAATAAAAATTAAAATTATATTTCTATTATTTTTATTTGCAATAGATGGTGCCGGGGTTTACACAGGGCGTCATTTGATTTGATTGGATTTTCCTGCTGCAGCGGCGGAAAGCCTATAAAACTTGCTAGTTTTCCAGCCTCTCCGCGCCATCTCCATGGCAAAATCGGAGAACGTTAGGCTGAATCTACCGCGGGCTCCTTCGAGTAATAGTCGTCCGGGAGCTCTCCTCGCCGACGTCGACCCCGACACCAACTCCGCATCTCTGGAGAAATTCCGCCTGTACGAGACCCGAGCCGTACGAATCCCTAGTCCTCCAGTTCCTCGGCTTCCTCTTTCTTCATTTCCATTTTCGCAGGAGAATTTCATATTTTCCATGATAATTGCAGAGGTTCTACCTCGTAGGCAGCGTCCGCGTACTCAAGATCGACCGCTCGGAGCGCTCCGATCTCAATCTCAGCGAGGACCCCGTGGTTTACTCGCAGCAGGAGGTGAATAATCTACTCCAGCGCATTAGTGAGGGAAATCGGTCCACGGGAGGGCTTACCTTCGTCGCAAAGGTCTACGGCATCGTAGGTTGCATTCTTCAAGCTCTTACCCTAATTTATTTGCGTTTTGCATTGGTTGCTTCCATGATGTTGCTTTCCACCCACTTTTTTCGTAACCCTGGAGTTTTACTTTCTTGTTTGGAAGGCTGCACCAAATTTCTGGAATCCTACTATCTAATTTTGGTCACCAAGCGCCGGCAGATAGGGGCAATATGTGGCCATGCTGTCTATTGCATTGAAGAGACTCAGCTGATAACTGTTCCGCACTCGTCATTCCAGACGGATGTTGCCCATTCCAAGACAGAGCTTAGGTGCTATTTCCTTTTGTTTTCCTGATTTGGGCGTTAAATTATTGTTAGAAGCATACACAGCTCCCAATTCTTATCCATTTACGTATCTCACACTAAAATTTTCATTTTTACAGAAAACAGCACCCATTGCACACTTTTCAACAGTGTGGAACAGTGACATCCACATTTTCATGCATCGGTAATGTGCGGTGTTCGTAAAAATCAAAGCTTTGGTGTGAGATACGTAAATGTATAAGAATTGGGTGCTGTGTATGAAATTTCCGTTTTTAATATTGCGTTTCGATGTGTGCTTAGTTGACGACCAATAAAACCAAACATTTTATATTTGTTATTGATTCTTTTAATATCTTTTTTATTTTTAATCTTAAAATTTTGATATGCGTCTGAGGGGTAAAATGAATTGAATCAAATGGTGAGGCAGAGTAATGTAGACAAGTGAGAGGATTAGGCATGGAGTGCTAGGAAAAGCAATAAGGAGAATGAATACAGGTCTTATAGGATGTAAAATGTTTGCATTAGGGGAGGTTCAGGGAATATCTTATTTTGAAGAAGAATGATAAATTGATGAGAAGACAATGAAATTTTTTTTTATCATTATTACAATTTAAAACAGAATTCGTGCACTAAAGCTATATGATCACAAGTTGTTGAAAATGATTTATGTAAATCACAATCTATATGGAAGTTTTGCCTTACAAATGGTTGAACGATGAGTGATCCAAAATCTTGGCCTTGGTGGTTAGCATAACAATTATGTATGGTTGATAACAATATGATTTCTAGTTGATTTGATACAGGCTTGAAATTGGGTTGTGGCATAAACTGATTTGATTTTGAGCTAGCTCTAATTGAATTAGGCTGATTTTGAGTTGACTCAAACTTGAACTTAGTTTGATCTAAATCAGTATTTTTATATATTTTATTATTATATTTTATTTTATATGCACAAATATGTTTTTAATGATTTTTAAATATGTTTATATAAAATATTATAAAATATAAAACATTTATATTTTGAGCCGCCTTGATTTGATTTAGGTCTAGCTCAAAATTAGCTTAAAAATTGAGTAAAACCAAAAATTTGGTCAGTTACTCTGCTCGTTTGGATCCATTTGAGCTGTTTACTAGCTAAAAATTAAGTAAGTCCTCAATATTCGAGTTAAGCTTTTAATCTCAAGCTTATGCTTTTGTGAATTGAGCTATCACATATTATTTTAAAGGTGCAATTCATCAATAACTACCTCTCAATGGGACAATGAGCTCTCTGGTGGTCAGAGCATGACCCCAATGGTCCCAATGGTTCCTTTTGTCACTCGCAACCCACCCCCCAAATCCCCTCCCCCTCTCTAGGGCTCATAGCTGCTGTCCTCCATGAGCTCAAACCCTTCCCCCCTCTCTAGCCCTTATTGCTGCCGTCCTCCATGAGCTCAAATCCACCCAGCCCCACCTCTCTCGGAGCTTATCTTCAGCTGGTCATGCCTCACTAAGCTAGCTCAACTCCATCCAATGTGTCTTGACTATCAGATACACTGTTGTGCCACCAGAGACCTTCTCATGTACAAAACATGTCACATATTTGAAAAAAAAGTGGTACCCTGGTTCTCATATTGGTGATGATTTTTTTATATTATGTGTTTTCAAATCTACAACTACGTGGAGTGAACTTATTGGGTCACAACAAAGTGGTTTGTTAATTCAGTGAATTTCATAGTTTGTTTGCAGCATTGATTTTTAAGTAATTTGTTTCAGGTACAAGAAGCTGTTATCTAGTTTTGACCTCACAAAGGATTTCTTCTATAGCTACACCTATCCTATCATGCGAAGTTTGCAGAAGAATGTGCTTGCTTCTGGCGATGAAAAAATGCCATATGAAAACATGTTTGTTTGGAACACATTCCTTACACAAGCAATTCGATCAAGGTGCAACAATACCATGTGGACAATTGCTTTGGTTCACGGGCACTTCAAACTGGTAAGCTTGTTCTTACCCAATTATATATTTGATATATTAGCTTTCTATTTATATGCCCTAACCCTTAAGGTGTTTGGGACTTTGAGTTATAATCCGGATTGTCTGTACGTGGAGAGGAATGCACTAGGGAGTTGAATTGAAGATGAGTGACTTAGAGTCATGGAAGTACATTCTTAAGGAGCAGTCATTTCCACCTCAAACCATCCTATTTTTGTATACTTTAAATGGCGATGTTATATGTGTTTAACATGATTATTTTTAATGTTCCGACAAATAATACTGTAAATGGGCATCTTCCAATATTTGAGCAGCTAATGTGATCGGTGTTTGCGGTCTTTGATAAAAAGTTTGGTTGTTCATGCATTACATTATGTTCCATCTAGAAAATACTTTTGTGTTGTAAGGGATGATACAACAACAATAACAACAACAACAATAACAACAAATAAAGTAATAAAAATAAAAGAAAACTCTTAGTTGCATTGTAAGGACCCAACTTAGAGTTAAAATGAATAATTTTTAAGCTTATCCATTTAGATTAAAAAATAAATATTTGTTTCAAAGTTAATGCTAATATCATATTGCATGTATATTTGTTATCAGCCATTAAGCTAAACGACTGAAAAACATGAGTAAATAGAAATAAAATAGTTTTATTTTTCAATTTATGAACAAAATGACATGATATGCTACTTAACTGCTGATTTTAGTAGTTATTTTAAAATAAAAATTATATATTATATCATACTCAATTTATAAGTAACAATCTTATCATAGTTTTCTTTTAAACTTGTTTGAATTCAAATTCAAAAATTTAAAATTAAAGTCACGTAATGGTTAATGTAATGATATTACGATGTGACAATTTACTTTTATTTTTTTTTTTCAGTTTAAATTTAGAATTTTAAAATGAAATTTGCATCATATGTGTCATCTTCACATTTAAAAGTAATAATATACACATTGCGATATTTTGCTTTTAAATACATTGAACTTTTCAAAACCATGTGACTGGACAACCATGTAATGTGTTGTATTTGAAATAAAGCCAGTTTCTCTCAAATGTTCCTCAAGTATATAAATATATTGATAGATGACACTGGTTGGCATGATGCAAAATTGTGAATGTGACATGATAATAAATGTTGGAGAATTATGACATAAAACTTATAAATATACTATAGAATTTTGATTAATGCGATTTAGTATATGTAATAGAGTTTATATAGAGGTTTTATGCATATAATAACGCACCAATCTATAATCAATTATTGTAATAGGGATTTTTGACGCATTCTTGATAATGAAAACATAAAGGTTAGTACATCTAAAGTTTCATTGGGTTCTATGAAGCTCATCCCAATCGAATTTTTTTCTGAACAATATAGCAGTCAATCTTTTTTCTAGCCTTGAATTTGATCAGACCCACAGATATGTAAATTATCAAAATAAGCTAAGCTTCTTTCTTCGATTGTTTGATTACAAAAGGATTCATCAGATAGCTGTTCCTTGTTCAGCATTTTTCTTATTTTGGCCAGGCTAGGCCCGCCTATGCAGTAAGGTTGTTTCTGCTTTGTAGGTCTCGTAATTACTTGTTAATAATATTTTTAAACTGCAGTTTATTGAGCTTGTTTTGACTTTTGAATTCCTAGTGAATCTACCTGAATGGCCAACACCACAAAGTCAAGCTTTTGAGATAATCTTGCACTAATGGGGAATTTTTGTTTGGAGAGCACCCACAAACATTCGGCTGTTAGAGATTATCATTTTGAATCCTACGACCCTTTTATGCTTTGCATCTAAAAGTGATGACATCCTACTAAGCATACCACCTTTTTTGCTATCAGCACTAGCCTTGTGTTTGAGGAAAAATGTAAATTTTTGAGGAAAATTCTCTCCGGCTATGTCAGGAAATTGATTTCTCCTTTGTATTAATACTTCCACAAGCCTTGTGCTGGAGCACAAAATCTCTAGATGAATGATAATGATTCTAATATTAAGGTACTTGCACTATATTATAAAGTTCATTCGCATGTGTCGAGTGGCATTGATATGTTGATGTATTCGCTGCAAAAGATTTCCTCCAATGAGGATAACTTGAAAAAATTATTGAAGTCAATAATTTAATCAAAAACTCTTTAGTTTTGCTAAAGAGTATCTTGACAAAACCACGTTCCATCAAAATTTACCTTCCCCTTTTGGCATTGGGTAATATGAGTTATGATAGTGCTAAAGCCTTGGATAAACATTTAGTAGAAGTTGGCTATTCTGTGAAGGCTATGCATAGGGGTGAGTATTCGATTGGTTTGGATTGATTGGTTTTGAAATTCGTCAAACTAATTGTAATTGAAATGTGAATCTGAAAAACCGAACTACTCAGAATTTTATAAAACAGAACTGACCTAACAAAAATTTAAGTTAGTTTAAACAGTTCAATTTTGAGCAAATCAAAATTTTGGTTATTAGTTGGAATTGTGTTATGAATAAACATCAAGAATTACATATATTACTATTAGATTTATAACGACAATTCCTAGCCTTTATTACTTATTATTAGCTTTTGTTCTCCCACTATATATTTCTTATTTACTTTATTATGTTTTATTTCATTCCTATTTGTTTTATTCTGTTTTATTTCTTTCTTTTGTTGTGTCTATTGTAATTGAATTTAAATACCCCATTCTGTCAATAAAATTATGCTGCTCTAGTAATAAATTCAACATGGTATCAGAGCCATGGTTCTAACCCTAGATATTCCACCCTAACCTGCTGACAACCACCTTCCAACATTTGATGTTTTCCTTCAGCCGTATGGTATCTTCCGTTTGTCCTATATGCCGCTAAGTTTTTGCCGTTTCTCTGCTCCGTGCTTTTGTTGCTCCTTTTTTTGCGACTTCTATCTATTTGGCTCCTATCTGCCGCCAGACTTTTGCTAGTTCTCTTCACTTTTATGCTGCGACTGTTTTTCCGTGAAGCTTTTTACCAACAGTTGTTCTACAAGTTTTTTTTCAACTACTGGCCAACCCTCCCGAGGAAAGCACTGTCATAGGCCTTCTCTGCAACCTTTCCCACCCGCCTTCCCCGTTGATCCTTTCCGCTGCGTTTGGTGCCTGCTTCCCAATTTTTTGCAGTCCAACTCCTAGATTTTCTACAAATTTTCTATAGATTACTTGATATCTAGCAATCCAGCTCCCATTTTTTTTATAGCCCGATTTCGAGCCTTCTTGTATCTTTCCTGCAGTTTACTCGCATCTTTCCTGCAGCTTACTCGCATCTTTCCTGCAACATTCTTGCAGTTTTTCTGCTGTTATTCGTCAGCAGGTGACTTACAAATCCATCAATATCTCGGAATTCCCGCCACGTTTCTTTTGGTTCAGTCAGAATCATCTCAAATCGTGCTCAACCCTTGTCCATGCCACCTTGGGCCAAACACTCCACTTGCGTTTACTATCACAAACCCAACTACACTCGGGACAAGTGTTGGAAATTTCACAATAAACCGACATACCAACAACTTTCGAATCTACCACGGTTCAACTAAATTCTAACCGGAACATCCCATAATCCTTCAAAGCCTTGAGAAGAGAAATTGATCAAACTACTTGGAGCCCATCAAGTCTTTACAGGTTCGTCGACCCCCCACATCCAACAAAGTACTCTTTCTATGACTTTCACAGTTATTTACGCCTCTAGTCCATGAATTATTGATTCAGGTTCAGGTACCACAGACCATATGATTGGATGCTCATAAGTTTTCTCGACTTACCATTCATGCTCTAAAAAGGATACCGTCAGTATTGCTGATGACTTCTGTAGTTCCATTGCTGGTAAAGAGTCAGTTGTACAAACAACCGATCTAACTCTGTAGACTATTTTACATGTTCCACAGTTGATATGTAACTTGTTATCTGTCAATAAGTTGACGCATAGTATTGATTGTATTGCTAAATTCTTTCTTGATGGTTGTGTTTTTTAGGATCATAGTTTGGAGAGGATGATTGGAACTCCTAAGAGGATAATCAGATTCTACTACTTTCAAGAGAAGAGCATGGAGAGTGAGAACACACCTCTCAAGAGTTATAACTTATCTCGAGTCATTGAATGTCCCATTGTGTTTTTTAGTTTTCAATATTTAAAAAAATTATATCCTTTTGATTTTTTCTATGAAAATTTTTCTGATTTCAATTGTGAGACATGCCAGTTAGCCAAACATCATGAAATCCTTTACTCACCCCACACTTACATACCTTTCGTTTATTTCTCTCATTCACAGTAATCTATGAGGACCCTTTCACACTTCCAACTACACCAATAAACGGTGGTTCCTGACCTTGATTGATGACCACACTCGAATGACGTGGGTCTACATTTTACAAGACTAATTGGAGATTGTTGCATCTTCCAAAACTTCTACACCTTCCTTTTAACTCAATTCAGAACTCCTATGCAGGTTCTTTAGTCGTGAGTTTTTCAACTCTATTTTGGGCGAATTCTTGATGAGTAATTGCACCCTTCACTATAACTCGTGTACAGACTCTCCTTAACAAAATGAGGTAGCTGAGAGGAAAAACCATCACCTCCTCGACGTTGCTCGCTCCATTAGTTTCAATCCAATGTCTCGAAACTGTTTTGGAACGATGTTATTCTCACTGCTCTCATAAATAGGAGAAAATATTACATACTTATGAAACATGTACTTACAAGGGTGGATGAAGTGACGACGTCTCATAAAAGTGAAATTGTGGTGACGTGACCACTCCATGCACACTTGTAAGTACATAATAAGTATGGAATATTTTCTTCATAAATATAGTCACTTCTAAAATTCACCTATGGGCTTAAGCAATCCCCAACTGTTTGGTTCGACAAGTTCACAAAGGTGGTTGTGAGTCATGGTTTTACTCTGGCTCAATTAGACACACTCTCTTCTTCTAACATTCCTCCAATGATCAGGTAACAATCTTTTTTGTCTATATTGACGATATTGTTCTTACAAGTAA